TTATGACTAATAATCTTGTGTTTGTATGATTTTAGTTTATGGAGTTGAACGATAAATTAAGTGTAAGTGGTAATATGATTTTATTTCTCTCTTATACCAAGCTTAATATTAGAAACAACATTACAAACGAAATTACCAAGCATAGATTTTTGTCATTTTAATATCCAAAAAGCGTGCAAGTTTGTTATTTAGGTTCAATACGATTTGAATTAATATTATGAATTAATATTAGGGAAGGATATCTATTTAATTATTAGTATAACGAAGTATTAAAACCTAAATACCTAATACGTACCATCTCACACGTGTTCTGTGAGTGTGTGCTTGATCAATGGTCAAAATCTCGTGGGATAATGCCTAGACTAGATAGGATGAAGTTCACTCACCACGTTTTAATCAATTATATACTGTAGTCAACTAATTAATAAATTCTCGTGATTAATTGTTGGAGATGTAACCTTCTAGCCATCTAGTAATCAATGGAACAGTTGACTCACGTTTTAATCAATTATATACTGTAGTCAACTAATTAATAAATTCTCGTGATTAATTGTTGGAGATGTAACCTTCTAGCCATCTATTAATCAATGGAACAGTTGACTGTATTTTTAACTTTACAAATACTGGCAGTTATCGTTATATCATACTTCGTTACGAAAAATGCATCCTTCCATTACAAATAAAGTATCATGCAATATGACATTTAATTATAAAAATATATAAATTTGTTGGAAAAGTATGATTAACTACATCTAGCAAACTACCAAACTACATTTAAACCATGCCCTATGACACATCTGAATCGCAACATTTCCCTTACAAATTCAAGTAAACAGAAACAAAAGAACAAATACCATAACCAGCATACAATACAAATACAATGCAGATGATTTTATTGATCAAACAAAGATAAAACTGCAGTAATCAGGAAATACAGAGTGTAGTTGATAACTTGAGCGAGGACCAAAATACAGTATATGAAATCCAATCCATTTCTCATACTACACATTTTTATTCCAACAAACTCAAAAAGTACTCGATATTCAATCAAACGACCTCGGCTTCATCACAACCCGGTAATGTGTCTTTATCCGAGTCGCAAACTGCCCGTTGTTCTCGGTCATGTCGATCTTCTCCTGCCCGGGCGGCGGCAAAAGCTCGAAATTCTGCACGAGCCTTCCCAAGGTTATGCCCACGACAGGCATAGCCATCACAATCCCAGGGCAGCTCCTCCTCCCGACCCCAAACGGGATGTACTTGAGATCATTCCCTATCACATCCACCTTAGACTCTTCCTCCAAGAACCTTTCGGGCCTAAACTCGTCGGGCTTTTTCCAATGGGCCGGGTCGTTGGCAAGCCACCACGCGTTCACGTAAATCCTGCTCTCGGCCGGTATGTCGTAACCCCCGAGCTTTTCTTGCTTGAGGTTCATGTGCGGGACGAGGCACGGGACTATCATCCGGAGGCGTAGGGTTTCTTTGATCACGGCTTGGAGGTAAGGGAGCTTGTGGGTGTCGGGCTCGGTTACTTGGATTCCCGGCCCGAGGATTGAGTCGAGCTCGGCCCGGAGCTTGCTCTGGATTTTCGGGTTGTTGATTAGTTCGGCGATGGCCCACTCGAGCGCCCAAACCGTGGTCTCTATTGCTGATAATTTTAGAATACATCAACAGATTTATTCCGTTAGACTTGACTAACAACAGCAACAGCAGCAGCAACAGCAACAGCAACATACGTATGCTAGATTTGTATTACGTCACGTTATCAAAATGATTTTTCGATACAAAAATTCAGCATACGTACCGGCAACATTCATGTTCTCGACAATGTAAAGGAGATGGTCTTCGTTGATCTCTCCATTCTTCTGCGCTTCGAGAAAGTGATCCACGCCGCATTTCACTTCGTTTTTGTCCGTCCCTTCCGCAGACGCAATTTTCCTAGGCCACAGACCGAAACACGACGAGAAAACCAAACACTATGTAAACCAACTAACTCGAAAAAAAAAAAAAAACGTACTTCCTCTCGGCAAGAAACTTGTCCCGGTAAAGACTCAACCTCCTCCCCGTCACCTCCCGACAAACCTTCAAATACCCCCTCAAAAACGGCCTCAAAACCGGGACAAAATCGCCGAAATTATACTCCAAGCTCTGCCCAAGCCTACTCCTCTCCCCATTCACCCCTTTCAACCTCAAAAACAGAGGATCCTCCAAACCCTCGAACTTCCTCCCGAACATAATCCCGTAAACGTTATTATAAACCATAAGCTCGATTCGCCTCCTCAACACCACCCCTTCACCACCAGCCGCCGCTGGGTCCCGCCTCGCCTCCTCCACCAAAGCCGCCGCCTCCGCCTCCCAACTCCGGCGGTGCTCCTGCACCACACGGGCCGTGAAGAAAGGCAGGGTCACGATCCTCCGCATCTTCCGCCAGTGCTCCCCGTACTCCGCGAAAACCATGTCCTGACCTTTACCCGTGAAGATGTCGAACACGATGTTTCGGGACCGGGAGCCGAACTCCTTGCCGCGGGTGAGGAGGACCTCTTTGGCGAGATCTTGAGAGGAGACCACGGCTATACGGCGGGTGCCCATGCGGAGGAGAAAAATGTTGCCGAGGGTTCGGGAGTAGCGGGTGAGGTCGTGGTGGTCGAGGTTGTTGCCGATGTGGAGCCAGCTGCCGAAAAACGGGAGGGAAAATGGGCCCGGAGGGAGGCGGAGGCGGCGGCCGCGGAGCCAGGAGATGAGGGCGGCGGCGGCGGCTGCCGCCAGTATGCTGACTAGGATTTTCCGGAGGAAATAAATATCCATGAGGAAAAAATGGGTAGTGTCAAGTGTGTGTGGAGTGAGGTGAGTTTGAAAAGGGAGGGGGAGCTACTTTTATAGACGATAGAGTATAGAGTCTCTATGTTGTGTTCATCAAATGTTTCTAATTTTTTAATACTTTTTTTTATTTATAAAATATTTAATTTTTTTGCTGATTTGAATGTTGAAATGTCTTGAAGATTTGTGGATGACATGTATGTATGGAAGATTTTGGTGCGTGTGTGATATTGGACTGTAGATATTTTTACTTAGGCAAGGATGAGGTAATAAAGAAGTAGGTTTGCGTTGAAAAATAGGAGAACTATTGTAGATTTGGAGGACAATTGAGGGGCTGCCTTGCCAGAAATTCTGAACTGGCGTAATGTTTTGTTGTCCCTTTTTTGGTGTGATGTCGTCCTTTTGGCATAGGGAGGAATTAAAGCATATCGGTTATCTTTTGATTGGATTGGCTTACAGAAACTATGAGGGTTTGATTCTTATGCTTCTATTAAAAGGGAGTTAAATAAGCTTTAATAGAGGCTTCAAAATTTCATTTCACTTTTATTAATACTGTCTTGTGAAATTAATGTGTGTGTAACTGGTAAGATATCTAAAAAATTTACTTTTCTTATAATAAGCTTTATACTTATGATTTCTCTCATTCTTTTTCTTTCTTACATTTTTCAAAGATTTTCATCAGTATTGACTATGATTTTATCATTACATATGAGTACAAGACACAAATAGTTATTACTTGTTAGATTATCCAAATAACAATTTGTCAATATAATTCTTGTTTTTTCTCTTAAAAGTTGGTGTTTACTATAATTTTTGTATGAAATACATGATTCGCTAATTTTATTTTTATCTCATTAGTTTATCATAATAATTTTGAAAATTAAATGGGTTGAGTAATCCTTCATTTCCTTGAGACTTTTCAGTCCGTCTCTAGTCTCGTGGTTTGAAAAACAACTACACAAAGATTGTAATTTGTCCAATTTAGTCTAAGACTGACAATATCAAGAGTTATATCACATTGAATATTAAAAATGGACGAAAAAAAGACAATTGTGGATCCCTTAATTTCTCAAAATTCAAACTTACTGAATAATCTATTGAATTTAGTGTTTAATATATATATGTTGAAGTCAAAATGCAGCTTAAATTGAGATAAAATTCAAATCTTATGTGGTAAAAGTATGTCTTAGACAGTTATGGATAATCTTTTCAATCTCATTGAATTTTATAATTTTACCCTTTAAAAGTTTGAAAGTTTTTCTACCTCGTGTTTCTAAATCACGAAAGCCTTGTTACAGAGATGCATTAAATCATTTATCAAGTTGTTCAAAGTCAACATATATAGCGTGTAAAAGTTAGAACGTTGCAAAAAATTTCACCTTCACTCTCATTTTTTCATCGAGTGGATTATTAGNAGGAATAACACGTAATTTTTCTATTTTATTTTACATTTTTTGGTAGATGCCAGTATGTCTAAGTAACTTGTTGGACAAACGCAAAAAACTAAAAGGAAGAACAAGCACATGTAAAATATGATCAAGGTCAAATTCTTGATACTTTGTAAGAGATGAAACTAATGTATGTAAATTTATAATTCAAATATACATTAATAATCCGTAGAGTCAAAGGTGAAATGTTATAGTTTTCAATTTATTTTCTTCTGTTAAACATAAACATTGATTGATATTACTAAGTTGAACATTTAGGATTAGTTTTCTTATATTGTATGATACTAACAAATGATAAAAGAGTAAAACATAACATAATAATTTAAAATTAAGAAATTAATTTATGATTTTATTCTATGCATGAATACATATTTATCGGCTCGAATGGTTTCCATGGGTTGTAGAATGGGAAATTTACATTTATCCTACAAGATTTTAAAAATATTGTAAAAATACAATTCATAAACAAATAATTACATCTATACCTAATATGTAATACATAACTACATTAATGCCTAAAGTAAGTTACCATATACATTCAACCTCCATCCCCCTTTTTGTGGGCTTGATTAAGTGAGAGAAATGGAAAATAATAAATGACACTCATTTAATTCCCTAATTCACGCACCTTGTACATTTTTTAATAGAGAGAAATAAAAACATATATTGTAATTCACGCAGCAGTCAGGTAGTATATTTTGCGTTTATGTTGGTATATATTCAGTATATGTTGCAATGAAAAACATGTCTACCATAAAAAAAATTATGTCTTCTTGGTTTTTTTTTATTTTTTTTTTTAATGTTAGACATAAAAGTATATATAAAGATATTATAACAATTACTTATATTCCCCATACAAACAAATCTTCTAATATGCTGAACATATATTGAACATATACTCCATATACACACAACATATACTAAATTGTTAACAAAAAATCTTCTAATATACTGAACATATACTCCTTATACACACTACATATATTGTTTGCCTATACACGTCACATATACTGTACATATATTGTACATATCCTCAACATATATATGTTGTCACGTAGATATATTGAAAATCGACGACTCACGTAGATATAATTTATAAACATATTATAACATGTTACTTAATATAAACCATACATATACACACACACACACAAAAAAGTTCATGCTGAATATAAACTGATTTTATACATAAAAATTATGTCTCGCGATAAATTTTCTTCATCATATACCGAAAATATACTTAATATACACTATATATATTTATATATATATATATATATATTATTTTATGCTTTGTCAAATTCGTTTTCAATAAAAAAATCTTTCTAATATACCAAATATAAACTATAAATAAAACATTGCTCAGAAAAAAAAAAACATTCATTCACAAACTAAGCAAACTACACAATCGGTATGTATGCCTTTCTTTTTCTCCATCTCTCAATATAAATTATTCATTTTTTATTCATTAATTCAAAATTTGCATGATGTGTATTCATGTGAACATGCCGCAATTGAATTTGTCTTTTCATGATTTTATTTGAAATCGAGAGCAACAGAGATTGTGGCGAGGCCGAGTAACTGTTAATATTAATAACTGTTATTATTTTTGGTATGCCGTTATTATTTTTAGCATGCAAAACTTATGACTAATGGTAATCTATCCGTTACACAAATTAGGTGAGGTGTATGTATACAAATAAATGGGATGATTTTAGTGATTTTGCAAATAAATATATATGGTAGTATAAATGTAATAAAAATGATAAGGTGTAGTGCACAAGGTAATTTCCTCTAGAATTATTAGGTCTCTAATAAGCAAAGAGTTAAAAAAATAGATACATTCCAAGCAGTCTAATCTAGACTCAGCCCACAAATCCAATCCAAAACCACCAAATATCCCATATCTCAAAACGACCTCGGCTTCAGAACAATCGTGGAGTGCTTCAATATATGCAAGCTAAACTGTCCCCCCTTCTCGCTCGTGTCAATCTTGGACTGTCCAGGTGGCGGCAGCAGCTCGAAATTCTGCACGAGCCGGCCCAGCGTTATTCCAAGGATCGGCAACGCCAATATAATGCCAGGGCAGCTCCTACGGCCCACGCCAAACGGGAGGTATCGAAAGTCATTCCCATTGGCCTCAACCTTGGACTCCTCCTCCAAGAACCTCTCGGGCCTGAACTCTTCGGGCTTTTTCCAATGGGCTGGGTTGTTGGCGAGCCACCAAGCGTTGACTAGGATTTTGCTCTCGGCCGGGATGTCGTAGCCTCCGAGCTTGGCGTCGTGGAGGTTCATGTGGGGGACGAGGAGAGGGATGGCCATTCGTAGGCGGAGAGTCTCTTTGATAACCGCTTGTAGGTAGGGCAGTTTGTGGGTGTCGGGCTCGGTGATTTGGACACCGGGCCCAAGGACAGTGTCGATCTCGGCCCGGAGCTTGGTTTGGATTTTAGGATGGTTCACTAGCTCAGCTATGCCCCACTCGATCGACCACAGTGTTGTCTCGATTGCTGGTGATGACGTGGAAATGAAATATAAATTTTTGAAAAAAAAAATATATATATATGAAAGTGACTAAAGAAACTAATAATGGTACATTTTGCTAGGTCTTAACCACAATGTATGCCTTTTAATTAACCACAAGCTATATTAGGTGGGGAAATTTTACCTCCAATTTCACAGCATATGTCATATGATTGTTGTGAAGTGAACAAATTCAAGAGTTGGGTGTGGAGGTGGTTTGTCACTTACGACACAAGTCACAAGTCATGTGGAAAGGTGGACAACCACACACACACACACACAAGGCTTGTAAAGTTAATTTTGTTTTAATCATAAAATCTCTTAATTAAAATTTGGAAGAATTGTATAGAAGGAAAGGGGAGATAAAGTTTAAGTTTTATTTTAAACTACTATTAAAAAAAGAGTTATGAATATGATGAGGTTATTTGTTTGTAGTAAGCAACAAGTGCTTACGGTTTGATGATCATACTTTCAAACTAAAATATCATACTTTCAAACCAACATAAAAAAGAAATGATATTTCTCAAATATGCATATTTATTAAAAATGTATGATAGATCAATTTGTCTAACTACTAGCCGACTCATATAACAATTTGTGTTTTTCGTGAAGGAAATTGAGCGCCTTGCGAAGTGAATAAATGTTTTATAAACTCAGTAAATGTATAGCATAAATAGTTTGGCATGCAAATGGAAGCATCCATTCCAAGCCAAGGTTATCATAAAACTCAACAAAATCCTCCAAGTTCAAGTCTATATTATACTGAAGTTTATCAAAATCAGAAAATTGTACATTCCAAATGTCATTTCACCATTGTATAAACTCAGGAAATGTGAACTTACCAGCAACGTTGATGTTCTCAACAATGTAAAGAACATTGTCCTCGTTGATCTCTCCTTTCTGTTGAGCTTCAAGGATGTGATCAATTGCACACTTCAAGCTGTCGTTGTCCGTTGGCTTTGTGCTCCCAAGCTTCCTGTACAAATAGTAAAGAACCAATTAGTTTTATCATGCCCTACCCAACTAAATTCCTGTAAGAATCTCTAAAGCAAATTAATAGTTGGTTTCTAGTTGAGATATTAACGTCTTTCAAAACCAGGCACAGAAATTAGCCACCTTCTCACAATAATCAACTAATAATTATAATTTTACGTGTATATAGAAAGACAGGTGCGTGAGATATCACTTAAAAAATCAACTTTTTTAGTTAAATATCACTATCACACATAAGAAGAACGATTTACTAAACGTGACTAACTTTGCAGGCTGTATCTATAGACACCTAACTGCATAGGTCCCCGGTTAGATTGCCTACTTAATCTAAATGTGACTAATTTTTCAGGCTATAACTAAACGACAACAACTGCCGGAATACCTAAACGGATAGCTTAAACAAAAAGACCAACGCATCAGCACCACCTAAACGAGTGTCTAGCCCAATTTTTAGAACACTGTTTTATCATCTCAAAATTGCATTTTCCTTCTCACCACTAACATCCCACAAGCACACATAATCAAACAAAATAGAATTCTTCAAATCCAACAGTAAACTGAAAACTATCAATGGTTGAAAATGAAAACAAATAGCACATTATATGTTTGATCTAGTGTCACCTCAAAAATGGATTTGAACAGAGAAAATCAGAAAAAGAGGGGTGAAAAAGTGGACTTACTTTCTCTCATCTACAAAATAGTCCTTGAACAACTGCAACCTCCTTTCCTTCACCTCCTTGCAAACCTTCAGATACCCTCTCAAAAAGGGCCTCAAAATGGGTATAAAATCCCCATAGTTGTACTCGAAGCTCTGTGCCAGCCGGCTCCTCTCCCCATTCAACGCCTTGAGCTTCACGAACAGCGGGTCGTCCTCGCTCTCGAACCTCCGGTCGAACATGATCCGGTACATGTTGTTGTACATCATCAGCTGCAGCCGCCGCCTCAGCACGATCCCCTCCCTCGCCGCCGCCGGGTTCCGCCGGACGTCCTCCACCACGGCGGCGGCCTCCGCCTCCCACCCACTGCGGTACTGCTGGACGACCTTGTTTGTGAAGAAGGGGACGGTCATGATCCGCCGCATCTTGCGCCAGTGCTCACCGTACACTGTGAACACCATGTCCTGCCCCTTCCCCGTGAAGATGTCGAACACGACGTTGCGGGTGCGAGACCCGAACTCGATGCCCTGGGTGTGGAGGACGTCCCTGGCGAGGTCCGGCGAGGACACCGCCACCAGGTTGCGTTGCCCCATGCGGAGGAGGAAGATGTCGCCAAACCTCCGGGCGTAGTCGGTGAGATTGCGGTGGTTGAGGTCGTCGCCGACCTGGAGCCAATTACCGAAGATAGGGACGGGGATCGGGCCCGGAGGGAGCTTCAACTTCCGACCGCGCAGCTTGGAGACGGCGGCAGCGACGATTGTGGCGAGGAAGAGCCCGATGAGGGTCTTCTCAAGGAGGAGAAGGTCCATGGTGGGGAAGGTGGTTTTCCTATTCAGCTAATTGCTGTTTATTGGCTCGTAATTTTCCGGTGAAATGGTGGTGGTTGTGCGACGGAGGACGATGGTTTGTGAGTGGGGTGGTTTTGTAGGGGATTTAAAGCTTGAGCCGTGAGGGGGTTGTGGATGTGGTGTTAGGTAGGGGAGCGTGAAGGAGTGGGGCCCAGCGGGGGTTTTGTGGGGGACTAACGGCGTTAGTTTGACGGAGCGGGATAACGGGGATCGGGGTGTGTGGCTTTTGGGTTAGGTAAAGGCAGGGATTGTGGTGAGAGCCACGTGTCAGCCAACTTGGTTACGTTGTTAAAGCATTTTCAGTGCTCAAATGTTGTTACATCTAACATATTTGACAATGTCTTCACTTTTAATCCAATGTACAATGTGATCACGAATATTTTGATGATATGGACATAATGGCTGCGTTTGGTAATTGGCGTTTCAGCCAATTTTTAGCTTTTGACCATTTGCATCTTATTTGACTTGTTGATCAGCAATGTTTACAATGTAGAGAATAATGTGGTTCAGAGCATCTCCAATGATAAAATGTAGTTGTAGTAAATTACACTTTATATTAACAAATTTAACAATGTCTTCACTTTTAATCCTACAATACACAATGTAATCACAAATGTTGTGATGAGGTGGACATAATTAATATCCACAATGTAGAGAAAATTTTAATTTATTCACATTTTCTTTCACATTCTAATCAATCAATTGAGAGATGAGGGAGATATATTATTATCATTTTTAAAATATCTAATTTTGTTTTTTTGTTTCTTATTTATATATATATATATTTTTTTTTTTTCCAAGTGGACAACATTATGTTTGATCACATTATGCATTGTAGATAATTTTTTAGATTTAAAGTTGTGAACTTAACAAATATCTTATGTGGTTTACAATCCATCTAAATGATTGACATTTGTCAAAATTTATGTGATAATAACATTTATGCATTGGAGATGTTCTTAAAGCATCTACAATACATGGGGTCTAGTCTTGCTTATCTGACATGTAAATAAACCCAGGTCTTGGATGACATGGATAAAACTTTGTAAAATTAACAAAATAATTCCAATGCAAAGAGACTACTCTACTTGGATCTAAAATAGACTAAGTCTCTACTTAGGTGTAAAATACATTTAAGGGTAGACCGAGTCTCTTTTTCTGGCTGCTACATCAGCAGGACTCAATCTACTTTTATTTGCATTGGAGAAAATATTTTTTTAGACTGACTCTATTTCTTAGGTGGCATATAATTTCTTAGGACTCAAAACATTGTGGATGCTCTTAAACATCTACAATGCATTGGGTCTAGTCTTGACTATGTGGGATGTGAATAAACTCAAGTCTTGGATGACATGGATAAATCTATGTAAAATTAACAAAATTCACTCCAATGCAAAGAGACTAGGTCTCTACTTGGGTCTAAAATAAACTTGAGGGTAGATCATGTCTCTTTTTCTGGTTGTCACATTAACAAGACTTAGTCTACGTTTATTTGCATTGAAAATTTTATTTTATTAAATTAGGTCTATTTCTTAGTTGACATATAATTTTGTGAGATTTAACCTATAGGTAGGAGAGCGTGAAGGGGTGGGGCCCATCGGGGGTTTTGTTTGGGGGGGGACTAACGGCGTTAGTTTTGACGGAGGGGGATAACGGGTCGGGGTGTGTGGCTTTTGGGGTAGGTAAAGGCAGGGGCTGTGGTGAGAGCCACTTGTCAGCCAACTTTTGATTGGTTACTGCAAAGGGGAGAATTGATTACGTAATAATTTGGTGATTATATTTAATTCAATATAAATAAATTGTCAAGAGATTGATTTAATTAAGTATTTGAATTGTGGGTTGTCAATTTATGTTGTCCTCTTTAATAACTAACTTGTGTCTTCAATAGTTCAATTGGATCAATTTGCGAATAAATACCAGTAGAAAAATTATTAAAGTATATAGAGTATATTCCACTTGAGCTGCTCAAATTAATTGTCTTGACTTTTCATTATGGACACTTGGGCATAATGATATCAAATTTCATGTATTGAAATTGATCCTTGTACGTATCAATTTAATGTTGTGTAATTAGAAATATTTAGGTAATAAGGTCAAATTAATTGTCTTGACTTTTCATTGATGGACACTTGGGCATAATGAAATTGATCCTTGTACTTATCAATTTAATTTTGTGTAATTAGAAATATGTAGGTAATATGAATAATTACACAATTTTTTTTTTATTTTAAATTCCAACATTTCTTTATATATATACATCATTTGTTAATAAATAAATATTAATTATTGGTTTTTCCATAATACATAGATCAATTAAACATTTAAACTAGACGTGTTTGTGTATCGTTATATTGGGTAATGACTGAAACTAGTATAGTGGAAATATGTGTGTATCGTTATATTGATTGGGTAATGTCTAAAATGATTTTTTTTTTTTTTTTCCGCCTAAACTCACCTACTTATCTTTCATGTAAATTAATTCGAAACCATAAGCTGCAACTATGTCAATGGAGTTTCTTAATTATAAGGAATACTCGGCGGACAAGTAAGATATATAGCAAAATAGTCGTGGACACGTTAAGGAGTGGAATTGACCCCGTCCACAAGGACAAATTAGTATGCAATGTGTAGCCAATTGTCCACAAATTTACCCAAAAATATTAATACTAGTACCATATTCATGTACTACACGAGTAATTGATAAGTAATGAAATGTACAGCAAAAAATAGAAAAAAATAAATTCATATATTTTATTGAAGTTGGAAAAAATAAATAACGAACAATATATAACAATTTCTAATAAAAATTAAGTAAATTAATAATATTATTTTAAAGTCTGAAAATTAATTTATATACATCACTAATTTCATTTATAATTTCATTTAAAACACATAAGGGAATAATATGGACAAGGCACAAAATTTGGAAAGTAAGATCATCTGCACAATATATATACAAAGAAGATAATAAATAGATTTATATGGAATAATTTAAATATATTAAATATGTGTATATATATGGCAATCCGAACTTAAGCTATTTGGTATAAAAAAATAATAATTTTTATCCAAGCCATATTGTAAGTTTAATACTTTGCTACATAAAATTACGAAACGTGAGAAACTGACAATTAGCATTCTGAAATTATACATAAGGGAAAAGGGATATATCCAGAAGTCAATGAGAATTTTTCAATCTTTATGTACAATGTCCTTATATGTTAATTTGAAAAATATTATATTTAAAAATATTATGATGCATGACAAGTCAATCCATAACAATTTGATTGTCTCACGCCATAATTTGTGTTGGAATAAAATAGCAAACTACTTGAGATGTATATATGAAGATGCGACTATGTACATATAATATATATAGTACCTATAGAGATAACTATCAGCATCATTATAATTTTTATATGTATCCATTATAGTATGACTGTATGAGCATCACCTTGCTCTCATATCTATCCTATTGCCTCGTGAAAGATGATATAAATTAATTGTTAATTAAATTTTCAGGTATAAAAAGCAAATTTGATTAGGCAAAGCAGAATTTAGTTTGACTTTAGTTCTGTGGCAACATATATCATGTAGACGTGTTCACGGGCCGAACCCTTGGTTCGGAATCGGGCCCGAGACCGGTTTTGAACATGTTTTACATACATGTGATGGGTGCAGTTGGATTTTGAGGTGTGCTATGGAGTTTGCCAAACTTTAGAAATCACACAAAATAATATTGTCATATTTGCTGGGAACAAACACTGAAATTTTAAATTCAGAACTATCAAAGACTACTGTCGTTAAAAAACAATGGCAATTACTATAACATCTCAATGTTCCTCCCTTCAAACATATGTAACCTCACAGTTGAGAAAAATAAACCACTTGAAAGTTGAAAGTGTCTTATCAAGTAGGCCAACTACCTCTTTTATTATCTCCANAGAAGATCAAGAAACCCCAGACCTGAAAAGACATGGATAGAAAAACTCAGGCTGCCATAACCGATCTCTTGTGCGCCATGACAGCCTCCCGAAGCTCACAATACTCCATGCGGTAATGCTCGAGCGAGAAGCAGAGCTGCCTGATGGCCTCCCGTTTTCCCTCAGCCCCTTCAACTAAAGCTTCTTCCTTTCTCCCGACCTCCCTCTCGAGCTCCTCGACCTTCAACCGCAACTCCTCAGCCGACCTACGCGCCACGTCAGCGTCCCCAATCAGCTCAGCATGCTGCGAGTGCAGATGATCCAGGTGCTCCCTCATCTCACCAACCCGCTCATCCAGCTCGTGTTTCACATCCATTAGCTTCTCGTATTTCGATTCTAATTCTTCAAGGAGCTCGTCTCGCTCGGCAATCTCAGCCTTCAACCGTTCGATCTGAATTCCAAAAACGGCCTCTGTCTCGGTTGTCGCAGCCTTGGCCCGTCTCACGTCCTCCTCCAACAACTGGCACCGTAGATCGAACTCCTTCAGATTATCCTCGAGATAGGCCCGTTCTTTAGTGATTTTAGTTATTTCAGATTTGAGCCGCTCGTTTTCTTCAGACAGTGTCTTGTTTGCGTTCGATATCGCCTCCTGAAGCCCCCTGATTTCCTGATCTCGTTCAGACAGGTTATTCTTGTACCTCGTCATCCTGTCCTGAAGCTTCGTAACCTCGCGTTTTTCCCTCTCGACCTTGTTTTTCCAGACGGGAATTTCCTTTTGGACCGTTTTCAGCTGCTCCTGCAAGCTCTGCAGGGCTAAGCCCTTGCTCGTGAGTTCTTTTCTCAAGTTCGCCACTTCCTCTTCAAGCTCACGGAACTTTCCCTCTCCCGATTCCGGAACATTTGAACCTTCTCGAACCTCAAAGACATCATCGTTTCGCTCCGATTCTTGCACGAATTCCGAGCTTTTCTCGAGAGATTTATATTTCTCAAGCTCAGCCATCAGCCGCGCGACTTCCTCCTCCGATTTCCGGATATTCTCCCTCGAACGCCTCAGCTCATCCTCGTAAGCCTGTAACTTGGAAGAAAAATCAGAACTCCCATAACTCTCTTCCTTCTGCAGCCGAGGAAGTTTCCCCTGCAGCTCACCCTCAGGCTGCTCAGCGTAGTTATTGGTGGAGGATGAGTCATCATCGGATTCCGACTCGGAGTCGAGAGTCGACGACTCTTCATCGCCCTCCTTGCTGCTCCGGTCACTGCCGAGGAAGACATCGAAACCGGCGGCCCGTGGGCCCGATTTGGTGCGGGCGGGCCGGCGGTCGGGGGATGGCTCGACTGTGACATCAGATGCTGTCGAGCCCTGGGAATGGAGGTCGGAGGGAATGTTACGCCGCAGCTCGCCCGTGACATTGTCGTAGCGCTCGGCGAGCGAGCGGTACATTCGGTAGAAGTCCTCGACGAGGGCTATGAGCTCGGGACGTTTTTTGAAGTAAAGCTCGGCCTTTTTCGCGAATGAGTCAGCGTCCTCTTCTATGAGCTTTAGCATCCTCTTCACGAGCTCATCCATTTCTGCAGATTACGAAAAGAGAAAGAAAGAGAGAACGGAAATGGAGCGAGTAGTCACGTAAGAAGTTTCGACAAAGCATCTACAACATGGAAGTATTTCGTATCTGAAATTTGAAGATATAGGACGCGATTCATATATATTAACACATACAGTTAATCTGTGAAGAATTTAACATAAACCAACAGCTGAGAGTTAGCTAACTGATAAACGAGCTACATTTTGCTAAATGCTACCCTTTTTCAACACTTTGGCACCCGAATAAATTTCTTGCAACAGCATGTAGACGAGCTAAAGGCAAATTACAAAACACAACACGACTTCTGGATAGGGGTGGAGTTGCCAGGAAAAATTATTAACATGCATGACGGAAAATATTGACATACAAAGCTTAAAGTTAATTTGCTAAAGTGCACAAACTCAACCTCAACTAAAAGTAGTGCAACTGACTATTTTTAGTATTCTTCTGTTAGAACTCCATAACTGCACAACAATATATGATTTGCAAGTTATAAGCATTTCTACACGGTAAACTAACGATCAGTATATGTAATTGTAATTCAACAGGTAAAAGCAAAAGGGATAGCTTATAAAAGTAAAAATAAAATAGCTTCACTTGCTATTTCTTTTATACTGTATAATTCTGTTTATTTTTTGTCAATTGAGCTGAAAAGACAATGACACCTATATAGGTTCATGTTCCTTATAAAGTTGATGTGGAAAGAGAAACAAAACAACTCTAACATTGTTATTAAAATTTCATGGTTTTCCTCTCCAGAAGTTAGGTTTTATTCTACAAAGTGGTTCAAGAACTTATAATGTGTGTGTGTGTGTGAGCGCGAGTGTGAAAAGATAACATAGTTTTGGTCTCTCGTTAGAAAAATATATACCACATATATTAATAATAAAAGTTAAGCCACGGAGATCCTAAATAGAGGTAAGCATATTGAATCTTTTGACCTTTTACTCGTTGACCTCATCTGAATTTGATGGAGCACACACAATCGCCATAAATTGCGGTTCTTTAATAACAAAGAAAAACGAATCACGAAATAATTTACCTTCAAGGTTCTCTTGTAGCCACTTAGAATTCTTGGGACTAATGTGGCTATCCCACCACCATGAGTGAGACTTCTTTGATTCAGTCCTCTTCATTCTATTGGACTTCATCTGAAAACAAAGTAAGCTAAATCACACACGCACACAAAAGAAAAAAAGGACCGCAGCACAAAAATAATTCTAAGCCATTTTATCAATCTTCTCAAATTTGGTAGATCTTGAAGCGACTGTCAATTACATTTTAGATCCCCTTTNCTACAGAAAAATTCATTTAAATTCTTGATCATGTCTTGAATAATTAGATAGAAATTTGGTTCTCACAAGGGGTGATGCCATAATTACAAGCTCCAAAATTTCCCCAAGCACAAACTACCTGCAACTTAAGATGAATATCATATTTAGTGCGCGTGTAAATACTTAAGATGGGCTACGGTTAAAAATTTGCTCAACTAAATGAATTTTCACCACTGGGAGAAAGAAGAAAAAGAAACTCAATCATTCAGCAAATATAATCTACTGACTCGTAGGCTTAACAATTTGAATTCATAATTCTTAATCATTATAATTCAACACAAATACAATAAAAGCTTAACAGATTAAGGGAAGCAACAAGAGATTAAAATTCATATTAAAAGCTTAACAGATTACCGAAAGTACCATAAAAGCAAAATCTATATCATGCGCATAAGGAATGAATATCGATTGAACAAAAATAATTCTTGGATAAGCACACCATGGAGTTGGTATCCATAACTTAGAATCTCTATATTCATAACTTAGCCTCTTTATTTTTTTTTTCACCACATCTGACTCCAGGTCTACATTGAATCATGGACCCAATTTACAGGATATAAGTTGTGCCATAAGAGATGGGCCAGCTATCAGGTCAATAAATGAGTATGATACTGCAAATCTGCAACAAGGGGCCCCTTAGCATATGCAAACGCAAGTGACCCTACCCAAAAAAATAAACAAGTATAATAAATAATAGAAAAATATTGTAACCAAATCAACCCTTGAAATTAGTCAAACTATCTCCTAAAAACCAGCTATATGATCACGCGGTTCTGTGTGTGTGTGTGTGATTTGATTATATCTTTTCTCTTTCAAAGAGCTAAACTTCAACTCTGAAGGAACAAGAATAAATCAAACGGATTACATAAATAAAGCCCATGTCTTTTAAAGGATTCAACAAGACGGGTTTAAGGGGGGAAAGAATAGCCCTTTTCCCTCGAGGAAGAGTTAAAAGGGAAAAACATGAATAAAAAAAAAATGACTTACTTATTGTGCACTGAAAGAAAAGGCAGTAGCCCTACCACCAGAATATCAGTAGAAAATGACTCAGAAAACATGTGGGAAAAAAATAATGAAGCCTGAAAATAAAGGGATGCACCTAAAATTTCCAGCCCCCACACTAAAGAAGCAGAAATTCGATGAATCAACTATTAACAAAAGCACAAAAACATTAAAAATAAACAGATAGAAATCAATCAAGCAACTTTTTATCAAAAAATTCAAGAAGCTGTCTGCAAGATTCAATAATTAAATTTTTTCAAACCTTCAAGAAAAATCAAAAAAGAACTCAGTGCATACCTCAGATCAGACGCGAGTAAAAAGGGGTTACCAGCTGCAAAGGAAAAGCTGACGGGAACTCATAAAAATGGCGTAATTTTCTCTGACTAATAAAGATCTCTCTTTTTTCAGTCCACGGATGCCCAGAAGAGAAAGAAAAAATTAATACAGTGGGAAAAAAAGGGAAGAAGAAAAATTGTTCAATAAGAGAAAGATACAAAAATGGCTCACCTTTTTGACTAATTCTTGAGAAAAAAAAAAGGCCTGAAAATGATGGATAATCCAGCGAAAGACAAAGCAAGAAAGGCCTAGAAAAAGAACAAAATTATGAAGCTCAGGCAAGAGAGACAGAAAATAAGCACATCTATCGGATATTTGTATTTGTATCTTGATGTGTGTGTGAGAGAGAGAGGCACAGCACATATGTGGTGATGTTATGACGGTCGGTGAATTGTTCCAAGTCAAAGTTTTTCTTTATTGATTTCAAAGAAATGACAAATTTGGTCATTATGTTAAAAAATATTTCTTTTTCTTTTTTGTACTTTTAATTTAAAAATTATTTCAAAACCACATTAGTAGGATCTTTTTGAGTAATTTCCCTCGCAAAAGTGACAATTTTAGTTTGGGCGGGCAAATTTGCTTTAGAATAAAACTAGTACGAACCTCATTCAATACACCGATAATAGATATTTATTAATATTTATAAATTTAAAAATTTATACAATAATATTTATAAATGAAAAAATACAAATTATCTATATGAATTTATGGAAATATTATATAAAATTTAAATTGTGTAAAATTACATAAAACATATTTATTTAAAATTAGTACACAACCCATAAGGTGCAAGTAACTGATAATAAATTTCATTATATTCATTTTAAAATAAGTGTCATTTTAAAATTTAAATTCATAAATTCAATATGATTACAACGTGATTCCATAAAATAATTATTTTGGCTAGATTTTAGTTACTATTTTAAGTAAATATAAATATAAATATTTATATATATATATATATATATATGATTGAATCGAATCGAATCAAAGTTACAAAAAATAAGCTAAACCGACTGAGATTATCAACAACAAACGTTCAATTATTCTTTACTGGTCAATTTTGATTTTCAATTTTGACATCCCACGAAATTGGCTCAGTCTGAGTTTAGTTTTTACGCATTCCTTAATTCACAAACGTTATCTAGTACAATATTAGAAATATATAGAATAATAATAAAAAAAAAAAACTATATTCATTCATCCACAAACGTTATCTAGTACAATATTAGAAAATATAAAATAATAAAAAAAAATAGTTTCTTCAATACAAGACCGGGAAGATAGGTAAACTATCAAATCGGGGCCTAAAATATTTTTTTTCTCAATTCGGAACGTAAATGTTATAAAACTATCAAATTAAGCCCTAGAATTAACAAAATTCATAACACCAACTAAATTGAGAGTTAAAAAAGATTGGTGCTTGCTCACATAAAATAATAAGTAAACATTCGTGTTGTAATATCCTTTGTGAGTTATCCCACATTGATTTGATAGGGTAAATGAGCCTAGTTTATAAGCCTAGTGGGTTATTCCTCCCATCACCAATTGATTTTGGGATGGTCAGATAGAACCTCACTTGGGCTTCATTTGAGTTAATCCTCTTATGGTGTGCTTAACTTGTGTCGGACCACACTCGTTTTGCCCCCGTTTGTCAATTCGCATAATAGTTCAGAAAAACGAAAAAGAAAGAAATAGACGATAGCAAGAAAACTGAGCAAGAGCTTCATATTTTCATTAATTTTCTCCAACAATCTCGTATTTTCCTTAAGTATGTTCATATTTNAGGTTGGTGTTTTAAAACTTCAAATTAACTCTCAATTTAATGGTGTTATGGGTTTGTTAATTCTATGACTTAATTTGATAATTTTATAGCATTTAGGTTCCGAATTGAGAAAAAAATTCTTTTATGCCCCGATTTGATAGTTTACCTATCTTTCAGACTTTGTATTAAAAAAAACTCCTAAAAAAAGACTCTATGTTCTTATCTAATTCAAATTTCAATTCTCTCTCTATATATAAAGAGAATAATTATTTACAAAAAATAGTAAGCAATAATTTCGGGCAAAACTAAATGCATGCTAATTCTGACTTTTTTTTTTAATTTTGTATTTTCTTTTAACAACAAAATCGGGCAGCATTTAATGCTCATTAAAATTGGGTATTGTTCAATTCAAATTCAAAAATTGTGGTTTCCAATCATTTCGAACGGATTTGTCAACCATTCTTTAAATTAAGGATTTTATTCAACTTAAAATTCAAAGTATCGACTTCAAAATATGGTGTATATCAAATTGTATGCATTTCAAAATTAAAAAACACCAATGCACATATTATTTAGATATAAATATTTTTAAACAAAATTTGGACCGATTTTTTTCAACATTTTGGACGGATATTCCAATCATTTCTTAAATTAAGGATTTTGTTTACTTAAACTTTTAAATATCGACTCAACACATGGTGTATATCAAATTGTATGCATTTCATAGTTTAAAAACAACAATGCACACGTGTTTTAGATATAAACTTCTTATAATGAAGAATTTTGTTCAATTTAACATGTATTTTCTAAATCACACATTTTCAAGAATTTGACTTATTTTGTTTAAATTTCGTGATTTCGAATTTGAAATCTTTTGTAATTTGTAGTTACTAATATTTTATATACTTTTAAACATGTTTTTTGGGTAAATTTTTTACCCATTCTATATATATATGTTAAATTTAAATGCCTTTAGACTAGACATGGCCAAAACCTGGGCCGAGTCACGGCCCGGTCCGGCCCGCCGAGCCTCCGGGGTGGGTTTCACAGACCCTGAACCGGCACGGACCTATGCTCGTGCCTGGTCCATGACTCGGTTAACCGGGTCGGGCCTGGTCCGGGTCCGTGACGGGTCAGGGCCGGGTCGTCAATTTTTAAATAAAAAAAATATAGAATAATATATATAAAAAAAAAGAGGTCATCGGTCCGGATCCGGCTCGGCCCGACCCGCCAGGCCAAGGTCATGAAATAATGACCCTGAAACGGCCGTCGAAAATCCAGTCCGGGCTCGAACCCGTGGTCAACGGATTTGATCGAGCCAGGACCTGCGAGGTCAGGGCCGGGCAGCCCGTGGCCACGTCTACCTTAGACATGTTTTAGTTGCAAAATAGTTTAGAAAACTTTTAAACAAAATTTTAAGAATAATATATAATATTTGACATAATCTTATATATGTTACATAATACTTTAGGTATTTTCAATATTTTAAACATACATATTTTATGTTATCATAGACAATAATATTATATTGTAAATTATATCATATATTAACCTCATTTCTTTAATTTATAGATATTATTTAATATAATTTATCCGTGGCTACGCAGAAAGATGAAGTGTATTAAAAAGTCACCCTTCAGTCCATGCGCCTAAAAGAGTAAAACCATTTAAATCATGTTATGAGGTAATAAGTTTTAACAAGATGTCTGAAAAATCTATATATATATAATAAAAATTAACATTTACTAAAAATAGTAGCAAAAAAATAAATCATAATTTAATGCAACTTATAAATAGTAAGTTTTATTATTTTTCTTATTTTTTTTCTTTAAAAATCATACAGCATTAAATACTATCTTAAATTTCGGGCTTCAATCCATTTTATTATTTAAAAATCCAGCTAAGATTTATTAAGTGTGTATGTTTTTATTTTTATTTTTTCTTACAAACAACAAACAACATTAAAATATCGGTCTCTATATTTATAATCTCAATTCAAAATATGCAAAAGTTTTAAAATCTCGATCTTTATATTTGAGCCTTTAGAAAAATATTGAACGCTAAAAATATTCTTAAATTGCATAATCAATCAATAATCTTAATTTTTTTTTAAAATTACAATGTTATTTTTTATTAATATGCATAAAGTAAAAATAATTAATTCATCTTTAGATATATTATTTATAATCTTAATGTACTATCATTTGGTGTAGACATTTATTATATGAATCATAAAATATTTTTATTTTATAAAATTAAATATATTTAAAGAAAATAAGAATATTTCTTCGGGATCAATCGGGTGACTGAATTAGGGTAGTGTTCAGGTTGATTGAATTACTTTTAGGTGATATTTAAAATAGTAAAAAAAAACTTGACACCATTTGGTTGATCCTAGGTGACTAAGTTTTGTGTCAGTTCGACCACACTAAATTGATTATTGAACTTAAATATAAATTTTATATTGAAAATATTTTATTACGTGAATGTGATGTAGTCCAAACTTCAAATAATCGTATTAACAATACTTTTATGACAACATGTTTAATGATTTATGGATATTTTTATATCATTTTATTTTATGTGAATTAAATAATATTTTATCATAATATTTATTAGTCTACAGTAAATATAAGGTTTGTAGAACTGAACTGTCATCGAAACAATCAAGCTATTTTATTAGATCATTTGTGGTTTGTTCATATTTTAATATATATATATATATATATATATATAGTACTTTTTGTAATAAATTTAAATAAAATGTGTTACTTAGATATCTAAACGATTTATAAATTCAAATGTTTAAACTAATTGATAAATAATTTATAAATATCTATTTTATTTAAATATGGAATTTTTTATAAAATAAATTTAAATACAACAAAAATTATTTACAAAATTGTATCGATCCTACCAGTCCAACGGACTGGTGTTGACGGATTCGAGAGAAAATATTTTATATAAGTGAACTAGACTGATTATAAACTGGTTCTCGGTTCATCCGGTTAGACTGTGTCCAACCCAATTTAATTTAAAAACAATGAATAAATAATAATTAATGTTATTTATATATTTAATTTATAATACAATCGTAATATTGATTTCCCGTACATCGCACGGGCCACGCACTAGTTATATAGTATGTGAAATGAGATGGTGTTTTGGAATGAATTATTTTAAATTATTAATCAATTTATCGAATACCATTGTAAATGGACAACAATTTTTATTAACTATAAGCTAAGTGAAGTATTTAACATTTTCTACCTATTAAAAGTAACAAGTTGTATTACCTAGATATATACTCATATTTTTTCAATCAAAATATTGGTCTGTATTAAATTATATTATATCTTTTATTAAAATGTTATGTCATATTCACGATTTATATTATATTGTTTTTTTTAAGTAATTCATATCCTCATAACCTATATATATTATTTGTTAAAAAGTGTGCCACAACTTCTTGTTTTCAAATTATAAATTTTGAAAAATATATCCAATACTAACTGTTTCGTGAAACAAAATTCCTTTGAAAAAGTTGTGATTCACCTTATATCTCTCACTAATTTTTTTCTCAAACAAACTCATAATGATACATTCACTCTGGGACCACACAAATGAAAGAAAATC